TTTGATTTGTGCTTCAACTATCTGCGAAGGTCAATAAAGTAACCAACTATTTTCCAACTATTATCCTTAGCATAACACATTCTGTAGACATTTTAGACATAAAAACTCTCAAAGTTTTGACTGCCTTGAGTCCAGAAAAATAAATGTCCCAACAATATAAAATGAGACTGGCAAACAACAATGAGATCCAGGATGTAAAAAAAAGACTAGCCTTCTGTTTTTACACATCACAACGTTAAGAATTTCTTAAATCATCAACCACTTTGTCCACCTCCTACCTGTACGACTCAAACTCGTGGCAATTTCCTTGAACAGCTGGTTGTTTTTATCAAACGTTTTCACAAACAGAAGGAAAAGTACATTCCTTAGGGACTCATTTTAATCCACTTTTGTGCCTTAGTGAAGCAGCAACAGTGTGTATGTTCAATGAAGTCCAAATAAACTACTGTGGATTTGTTCATGGTGATGAAGGAACATCTCACTAGTGCACCAGTGTGCCTTTTTCTGGACAACAATAGAGCTCTATGCCATATACATCAACCTTTGGAGTTGTTGACAATAAAAAAAACACCAAATGTATTCTTTATATGTTTATTTCACTTAATGTGGCACAGTTGTTACTATATCCTTATGGTTATGTATGTATGTCTCTATCTTTTCCTCAATCTGTTTACGTCTGAGTGTCTGACCTTTACCTCTGATGATGTCTATCTGACTGATTGCATGCACACAGTTTACTTCTTTGGCTCCCTCCTGTCTCCCTCTCATTTACCTCTGAGGTAACTTGTAAGCGGCCAAATAGTGGTTCTATAATATCCATTCATTCAGGCTATTAACCCTTATTAAAAGGTGGTCAAATTGAGTTGTTTAGTCCCTCTGGAGTCGGTGGACGCGCCGGCGCGTCCAGGTGCGCATCATTTACGTAATTAATCATATATTTTCGATTATAAGGAGTAGAAATATGATTCAGATATCCGCGGAATCGCTGGAAGTGTAGCCAATATGGCCGCTCAAAGCAGCTTGACTTTACACTGTGGGTTTGGTGGATTCGTGTGGCCGACAAGGAAATCTCGGCCGGCAGCCATGATGGTCTGAAATGACCAATGGACATCGAGAAATCACTAAGGACCTCCCCACCAAGAAAAAAATACATAAACCACGTGTCTCCCATCAGTTTACGTCTGTGAGGAGAGAGAGAGAGAGAGACAAACAAACCAAACATTCCCAAATGGGAAAATCATCCAATTGAAAATGCTCACAATGAGTTTTGCAAACGCATCCTACAGGTTCACAGCAGAACAACTAACAACGCCTGCAGACCGGAATTAGGCACATATCCATTATTAATATAAATCCAGAAACGATCAATTAAATATTGGCTACATCTACTGTAAAAGAAAGTGACCCCCACTCCTACAACCACAAAGCCCTGCAGCATCAAGAGATGAACAAGGGAAAGAGTCCCCTCTCTCAGCTGGTCCTGACACTTTGTTCACAAACCGGTTCAAACTGTGTTCTGCCTCAGGACCAGTCTGAGCCCACAAATATGAGAGTCAACCAAATTATAACAAAACTACCTCACTTATTGGAACACTAAATCCCAAACACAAAGTAAAATGCAATGCTATCTGGCCCTAAAAAGACAGTACACTGTGGCAGCCTACCTGACCACATGACTGATGTTAAACACAGGAAGATGTTGACAAAGTACAGACTGAGTGCTCACAGCCTGGCCATAGAAACAGGCAGGTACAAGAAAACATGGCTGCCAAAAGAGGAGCGATCATGCCAACAGTGTGGAGGAACTGCTGTGGAGACAGAGCAGCACTTCCTCACACAATGCCCAACTTTTTAACCTATACGGAAACAATTCGTCCCAAAACTCAATCATAAGCATCCTCAAATATTTAAAAATGAAAATGAAAAACTAAAAATACTTCTCGGGGAATATAAAGAGAGCTGCATTGTTGCAGGACAGTTTGTCTCTGCCTGCCACAGTTCGAGGGAATCGGAATGAGCTGATACAGGGCCGGCCCTTGGCATAGGCAGTATAGGTGAATGCTAAGGGCGCATCAACCCATCCGGGGCGCCGAAAATTGGGGAGAAAAAAAAAAAAAAAAAAAGTTAGAAATTAAAAAAATATTTTGGTGAAAGTAGAGTGATAAAAACCTATTTTACTCAAAATTCAAATTTAATTTGTTTCATTTTAGACATGAATTATACATTTATATACAGTGTAATTCAAATATTTCACTACTTTTGTGATCTTAAGACTTTGGTGACCAAATCTAAAACACCAAAAAAAATTGATGAAATTAGTAAATTTGTGTTTTCACAAGAGTTTTGAAGATTTTCTGAAAATCGGATGTCAAATGTTAAGCTTTAGAGCTACTTATCTCCTCACATTTAAGGAAACATCTAAAAAGAATATAGAAAATACCCTTAGACTGCAGAGGGTTAAATGTGCAACATGGAATCATTCGTTATAACAAATTATTATAACAAAACCTGGGTGTGTAAAAAGGAAAATAAAAGCAGAAACTGTAGATAAAAATTACTTTGCTTGAAACTCAGCATTATTTGTAAGGCAGAGGAGCACATCATTGATTAACTACATTATTTTGTGAGGTTACATGCGTTAAAAAGCCCATTAATCCACTGTGTAGTATATCAGTGTAGTCACAATCAGATTTTAAGCTAACGTTAGCACTTCACTCCTGTTATTTGGGGACGTTTTAGCTAACGTTACCTGAGGTACTGTCACGTTTATCTCAGTGACTAGTCAAAACTCTTTTTTCTTCTGACAGAAAAAGTAAAAAGACATAGTTTGAAACTACCACCCAGTAAATAAGCTAAGCTGCTAAACAAAGTTTTTATTTTACAGTTTTTCCTAGCTTACTGAAAATGCTACGGCTACATTGCAATACAAGAACGGTGTTTATTTGTGTCCATGATGTCTACATGGATGAAGAATTGAAGATGCTAAGTTTAACACGCAACGTTGAGGCCCACAAATGGTTTTAAACCAACTCATGGTGGTAACGTTAGCTTAATTAACTAGCGACAATAGATACAATCTTTCAGTGACATTTGGGGTTCCAGCCAGAAGAATCTGTGTTAGCAAAAACATGTTGCTTTGGTTTCATTCTGTCTCAATTCAAGGGCAGGTTTCAAAACCTATATATCAATTTCTTCTTTGTTGTAATATTACAGTTTGCCATTCAATGATAGAAAAATTGTCTTGGCTTTTATAAATGACAAAACCGGCTACTGGAGAAAATCCATGCAAATCCATTTTTGGCATCACAATCAATCTTCCAGCCAAGAAGCCCTAGATTTTAACTGACAGAAACTAATTATGGTTTATTTTGTTGAGTGTTTGGAAGAATTTACCGGGCAGATAGGACAAGATGTAACACAATGTCTCCTCAGACCAAATTTTATTTTTTAACTTGTACCTGTTAGGAGTGGAGGTGGTGACAAAAACTACATTCAACCACGTCAGTGTGTCAGTTTCTGCTAAACTGGGAAACTTCATTTTAGTCTCTGTATAATCTCTACATTTTGTGATTTAATCCATAACACAGGCAACTGACCACCCAGGGCAGATTAGTGTCTCCTCAAACAATAAGGGGTTGGGGGGAGTCTTATTTCTATGAAACAGCTCTTATAACTGTTTGAGTAGCTGAATGTGTGTATTGGGTTAACATGTACATTCATACTGTATGAAGGAAAGTGTTTGTTATATTTTGCTTCCATGCTTCTCTTTAATATTTTAGTGGTATGAGAGCGGGCTGCTTCCTTCTCCCTGACGTTTTCAGACTCTATAAGAGGCATCGCTATATGTATTAAATAAATATATTACATAACATGGCCAAAAGTTTGTGGACAGCTTTGCTGACCCATGAAATACAGCCCAAGAATACAATTACACAAAGTACTGTTACTGTATGTGTCCACATTTTTTTTCTCCACATGGTTTATTTCTGTCAAATTTTGTAGAAATGGTAGAATGGGATTTTGTTTTGAAGAAGTTGTTAAGTTTCGTTTTAAGTTAAATATAGTTTATAGTATACTGTAAGAATGCACTAAAAGCCACACGTTCCTGTTTAGGAACTTATGACACATACTGTAGAATACAGTTGCACATGAAGTACATAAAAAAAAAAGTATATTTTCACGTGTGATTTCCTGTATTTAACATAATGAAAATCAGAAAAAGACATGAATCTCTTGCATGTAACATTTCCCAAAAACTAATGTTTATATCTTAATATGTGTCACATGAAATCGGTGTCTGAGATAATCGGGGGAAAGTGTAAATATGTCCCCTAAATTTCAAAGTATTTGCCCTTTAAAACACAATGAAGTGGGCAAAAATGCCTTCAAATTTAAAACATATCAAATAATTACATGTATGTACTGTAGCACCATTCTCACACAATGTAATTTAAAAAGTCCATTAAACAGGAGATGTTAAGATGGCAAAAATCGCCCAAAATGTACCCGTTAAAAATATTTATTTTTAAATTGTGTTTTACATGTGATAAATTCACATGTTTTGAGAGGGTGTAACGCTTGGTATTGTTATCTTGTCATTTACTACTGAAGTGTTTGGGTGGAGGAGTTCACACAGGCTTGAGGTTTTGCCGCCCTACAGATCAGACCACATGCCAACTTTTTATCTACTCACATCTGCAGTTTCTCTTTTGATATTTTTAAATATGTAGAAAAAGGCCAGTTCTTGCCTTTAAACATTTAACATCTCTATTACTTCTTGCACGTTCCCTCCCTGCAGCAGCTCCCCATACCCGCACTAACTGCTCTTCACTGACTCAGCATGTATGTGAAAGGCAGAGGGAAGGGAAGGGGGCAGGGCTCTGAGATGTGAGCCTGCTAACTGGCTGAGTGTGAGCACTTGCAGGCGGGGAGTCAAAGGAAGGAGGGAGGGAGGCTCTGCTGGCCGGACAGGTCTGCACTGCTCTGCTGGAGAGAAGGAGGGAAGATGAGAGGGAAGGAAGAAGGAATAGCAGAAAGGATGAGACAAGAAAAAGCATGTGGGAGGTGTGAATCCTCTAAGCGGCAGTGAGAGGAGGAGAGGTGAGTGTGAGATTGAGAGGAAGATTTTATGTGTAAATGTAGCTGTTTGTGTCTCTGGTGTGCTGCTGCCAGATCGGGTCGATCAGGAGACAGATTTACAACACGCTACAAATGATCCAGATGTGCATGTCATGTTGTAGGACTCACAAACCCAATGACTAATGGGCAGCACAACGTGGGGCACTTCAGTGTACTGTGTGTGTGTTTGTGTTTGTGGCATGAATAACAGAACATGTGTGAAATTAGGAACTTCATATTTTTCCATCTAGCCATGTGTCATTACATGCATTTCACCAGTGCTGGGCTTTCAATTATTATCGTTATTGAACTTCAGCAAATAAACATGATCATATGATGTAGTCTGAGCATGGTCCAAATGTAAGATTCTGAGAATACTGCAATATAAAAGTAACAAAATATAAAGTTAGGGGTCTTCTGTAATGCACAGCAGTGGACCACACTTCATTAATTTGCATCTTTTATTAGTGATATTGCTTCATTTGGCGTTGTCATTACTGTGTTGATGTCACTGCTTCTTCATTTTGTAGGAAATTATAAAAACCACTCGGCAAAGCAATGCAATTATATTGAAAGAGAGCCATGCTGACACAAGGCAATTCAAAGTGATTTGCAGGGGCATAGAAATATATGAACTATCGGAAATTAACAAAACATTAAAATACCATTTAGAGGAGTTTAAAAACAAAAAATAAACAGGCCAATAAGTAAAGGCAGATTAAGAATTACTTTACATTTTTAGTAAGAAATAATGTTTTTACAATAAACTGAACTGAGTTTAGGCTTGGAACTAAAATAACATCATCAACATGAGCAGTACAGCAAGAGTCACTGTATCCACATCCTAAACCATCTTGTTTTGTAGACATCAGAGCGGAAAGGTGATGGTGTTTTTTTTTTAACTTAGCTCTGTTTGTTGCACTGAAAGAAACCGCTCATGCTTATGATAAGTCAAAAAACAGCCTATTCAAGAAAATAAAAAAAAACTGCCGCCGTAGTTTTCAATACCAATGAGTTTGCAGAAGTTGAAAACAAAAAATACCACCATTCATTTGTACTGTATGCCTCCATCAACTAGTCAAGTTGTCACATGATGATTATTTCTTAACTGTGGGAAATTGTTCAAATTAGCCAATTAATTCTTGAGTTATGGCCAGTTGAGTTTTCTTTTTTTGTTGTGATTTTAAAGTGACCTTTGACCTTACACCACCAAATTGTGATTAGTTCATGAGACCAGCTGGACTTGTTTGCCAAATATGAGATATCAAGAAGGAGAATGGGGACGACAAACAATGCGAAAACTAATGGCTCCCACCATGTCTGTTAGTGGCACAGAGGCGAAAGAAAAACCCCAATATGCGTTAAATCTTGTCAAATCGTCATTTTCAACCTTAAGCTAGTTATCTTGATTGTTGGTTTGAACATTATATCTGTCTTTATCTAGAAAGGTGTTTTTGGTACAGCCTTAAATGTGAGAAAAAGGCCTTTATTTGTATTTGTTTTGCTTTGGCTGTTGTCCTTCCTGAAGCCTTGTACATTTACCCTGCATCAGAGAAGATAGGAAGAGCAAGGTCATCTCCTGGGACTTGCTTTGAAATCTGAGACACTTTCTGTTATGTTGAAGATGCTGAAAGTAAGGAATCACAAACTGGAAATACATATTACAAGAACAATTGATTTTCTTAAAGGGTCACATCTCAGAGAGAACTTTTTGTGCACATGGCAGGTCAGAGAGGAGTGCTACCTGGAGAGAGATGAAAAACAGCAGAGCAACTTTAACTTAGAGGAGAGGGACTGTGCACGTTATCGGTAGATCTCCTCTTGTACATACTGTACAGCCTGAGGCAAATGAGTAATGTGGGTTATTGGGCTACATAAATACAATTTAATTTGATCTTTACACTGGCGTTTACACTTCTACGTTGCATGTCAGCCTTTTGCCTGTAAATTGAAGATCAGTTCCCACGAGCTTGCAAGGTATTGAGCGGAGGAGTTGTATAAGCTGCAAGGTCACGGCACATGTGGTGTCTCTCCCTTATTTTTCTCCAACAATAAGCCTCTTTTCTTCACACACACTTTCTGTGTATCTGCATGAGTCAGAGGACCCGTCTCTTTTGTGTGAATGTGCAGTGAAGAAGCAAGCATGACAGCCTTGTATCAAACACACACAAATTCATCAAGAAATCTTTGACACTCACTTCTTTAAAGTCAGTTCATCCTCTTTATTCAGCCGCTTGGTAAATTATAATTCAGTACCAGTGGAAGATCAAACAGTATTTTTGTGTTACACTGAGCCCCCCGCCATTTCTTGGGAATTTGCACACTGTGCCAAATACAGTATGATGTAACCTAACGCTATGTAGAGAACTCAATAGTTGTGAATGCATGTTAAGGGGTTTTATGTTGCAATGTGAACGTGCCGCGTCACCCATTCACTTCATACAAACCCTCTTAATCTCCCCGGCTTTAATGTGTCACTACCTACACTAATAATGCACAACCTGTCATGTTGCTGAAATCAAAGCAGCTTGTGCACGGCGCCAGCAACAAGCAAGCTGGGAGCTAATATTAGCATGAGCACCCACCACCACCACCTGCACCCCCCATCGTATCCATGTGTAGCTAATATTAGATCTGCACATGGTGCCTGGGGTTTAATTACCTGTGCGATGGGACTCGTAAATGCACCACCAAAGTGTGTGTGTGTGTGTGTGTGTGTGTGTGTGTGTGTGTGTGTGTGTGTGTGTGTGTGTGTGTGTGTGTGTGTGTGTGTGTGTGTGTGTGTGTGTGTGTGTGTGTTTGCAAGCATTGTGACCCAGAAGGACAACAACACAAGGATGAGTCATCAGTTGTGTGCAGCTGTGGCCTTTTTTTGTTTGTCCAGGTGTGTTTGGTGGTGCTGAAGTTGTACATCTTGTCCTTCACATATATTGCTCCTATCAGGATTGTGCTTTTAAATGCTAAGCTAAGCTAACTGGCTGCTGGCTGTAGCTTCTAGGGCTGAACTCGACGTAGTTTTCTTTTTTGTTTGGATGGAGCTTTGAATGTATTTTGTCATACAGTATGTTAGGACAACATCACCCTAAAAGTATAAAAAGACAACCCTCAAACAAAAGCCAGTCTGTTTATTATCATGATTACTATTAAATCAACTTTCTTTAATGTATATACATTGGCAGTTTGTGCATCCTTTTGTGTGCAATAAGCGTAAGGGCATTACATTTTTCTGACCACATTTTGAAAAGCTAAACTGCTAACCAATATGGATTGAAGCTGAATATTTTGTAAAATAAGAACATTTTAAAACTACCTGGTTAAGCCCCATCAGCATCATATTTATTGCAGAGGAGAAAACAAATAATTACAAAATGCTGAACTGTTCCTTTAAGAGACACATTTTGAATGTGTTTTTTACCTCAATTGCCAAAAAAGAGACCACATTTTCAATCGATATCGCAAAAAATCTTGTTATTGGTAACATATATATATATGATAACTATGTAGTAAAATGTTATATTACATTATCTAGAGAAAATTCCTTGTTGATTAGTTAACACGTTTAGCTAATTCTGAATGAAGTGTTATCCTGTAAATCCAGCACAGCGTGGCAGGTGGCGATTGATAATAATCTGTTTCTATTGTAACTCCTGGCACAGCAGTGATGGTGCCACCACACACACAGCCAAACTGGACGGCTGTCAGAAAACTGTGATGGAAACGCAGCATGGGGGTGTTGAGATTCAAGAAGAAAAGAAAAGAACAATACTTAGACCAACAGCTATTTCATCTTAAATCCTATTTCCTCCCTAATATTTCTGCTCAGGTGGATTTAAGTTTGACAGAGCCACTTTATTCCAGTAAATACTACAGTATACAAACCTCTGAATTGTTTGTGCACTGATCCTAGATCAGATGCTGACATACCTTACTGAAGGATTATGTTGTAATTGCATCGTTATAACAAAGAGCTCCGGGCTTTACTGTCCTAATAAAAGTCATTATAACACATTTTGTTGCTAAAGCACTCACAAAAAATGTATAAAATCATGACTGCAATGAAAATTAAATAAAACAAAACCAAGTTAAATGTAAATAAAATACCCAAACATTAAGATATATATCACATCAGAAATTATTTTAAAAGTGTCTTTGATGGATGTTCAGTTCTTTTGATTGATTTGATTATTCTAGAATATAACCGTATTCAATTTGACCAAAGAGTGTCAGCAGGTTATAATCTTCAGGCTGCGTACGACCCCAGAAACTTCCACCTGTGAAAACCACATTATAAATCTATTAATCCATGTCTGATCGTTCGTATCTTTGTAAACATTGTCACTTTCTCCATTATAATTGTAATCTTCACAGGTAGATACATCTAGAGTCAAATAGGAGAATGTGTCTGTGATTGAGGTGAACTGATCCTTTACACAGTTTGCTGGCTGCAGAGGAAGCGGGGGGGGGGTTGTTTCTAACATGGTCCTTCCTGTAACTCTACACACCCTCACACTGTGGCAGTCTGCCAGCAGAGCTATCTCCTTCATACATGACTCTCTCATCCTGCTTTCCTCTCCTTCACTCTCCTGTTCTACATCCATCTCTCATGCTCCTTCTCTCACCCGTCCTTATCTGTCTCTCTCCCATCAACATCTGCCTCAGATGATAAATTAATGGATCAAATGAAGTTCAGGCCCATCAGCTGCTTCCCAGAATCGATACCAGCCGATGTAATCCGACAGACTTCCTCTCTGGATGAGGACAAAGATGACAAATCATATGTAATAATATGATATGGATCTGTTCCTCCACCAGCACATTTATGAAGAAACCAAGAGGATGAAACCCCCATTTACGTGCATGTTCTTTTCTTATTGATTCTAAACTAAAACAACAGAGAAACAGGTTAAACCATCTCGTTTGCAAACAACAAAACTGTGCATGTGAGCCAATATCAGTCAGGACACACTGCTGGGTCTCAGCTG